TGATGATGATGATGATGATGATGATGATGATGATGATGATGATGATGATGATGCTGATGATGATGATGACGATAACAATAACAATAATAACAATAATAACAATAATAACAACAATAATAATAACCGTCCCCATGTCTATTTCTACAAACATCAAAGAGGATGATCGTCATCGTGTATGTTTGTGTAGCACTAAGCAGTCTTTGAGTTCCGAGAAGAACAGAAGCACGTTGACACAATGATGGCCATAAGTAGTTCTACATTACAAGGGGGAAATGCACTGAGAGACAGCAAGAGAGAGACAAACGGGGAAAAAATCGTACAGATAATGAAGAAGTAGAATCCAGCTACAAGTTGCGACCTCCTCATTATTTTCCCCAAGGCCAGAATCGAACGCCACAGAGTTTAAGTCTGCACAACATTTGTCTCTTAGAACTTTGACTTTGAAAGACACCCTCTAAAAAAACCAATACAAAACAAAAACAAAAACCAAACACCAAAAAAAAAAAAAAAAAATCTCGCGTGCACCTCCTCCGCAGCTACGTCACTCGTAAATCTACCTCAGTTTCTGGATTTTCCTAGCCGCCAGCTGTTTAAAAATAACAAACAAAAAACAAACAAAAGCATTTAACATCCGCGCTTTTTATATTAACTTTTTCCCTCTTTTTTCTTTCTTTCTTTTTTTTTTTTTTTTTTTGGGGGGGGGGTGGTAAATTAACGCATTAAAGCTGTCGGCTTTAGACACTCGCTTCATACGGGCAGACAGGTGACATGATTCTCTGAATGCACTCAGTAATAATGAAATTGGAGCCGTGTCCCGAGACAGAAAAGGGAAAATCCGGACCGCAAGTTAAGTGTCGACGCACGCCCAAGTGAAATGCGAGCCTTTTTCGTCCCTCAAGCACTTGAAACGTTAACTGTTGTGGAAAGGGGTGGGGGTGTGAAATAACATACAAAGGATTTGAAACATCGCTTCAAAATCTAATATCTCAGCCATAACCCACTGATGTGTCCTACTTATTTTGTTTCGCAGTAATATCTCTATAGTTCTTTTTGTCTGAAGGCCACTACTTTCCAACACTAAATCGCCGTGTTTAAGTCGGTGTGCCTCTTTTTACTCAAACAAACCAACAAATAAGCAGAAAGATGAAATGCATCTGCTGTGTGTGTATGCACAAGACAAATACCTGAAGCTGTGATTTAGTTTCAGTAAGAGTTTATTTAACGACACTTGCAGCGCAATCAGGCCATATGAGTGTTGAGAATTGAAGATGTCACTAAAGAGTAGCATACAAAGAAAGGAGGATAGGTAAGGACGATGGATGTTTGATAGGAAAGTAAGAACAAACCACATTTGAGCACCTGACAGCCATCTGCCCCGAGGCTTTGATAGAGTTTTATAGTTCCCAACGAATCAGCTCACTGACCACGGCCATATTTCACGTGCAACCAATTCGAATCATATTTACTTTTCATTATTTCTTTTAAAAGATATAGCAGTTTGAGACACCCCCTCCTCCCCTCCCTCCCCCCCCCAAAAAAAAAAATCGGCACAACATAGCTTTGACCATTCAAGAGGCGACTTCAACTCTGCCTGTCACGGCCAACCCGAGCTGAGAGGGACACAACGTCCGAGGAAAGAAAAACGAGCTTCTCCACAAGAGTATCTCTATGAGGGTAGAAGAAAATGTCCGGAACAAAAAAAAATTTAATTTTGGGTAAATTTAAAGACGATGTCGACCTTTTTTAAGTCCGCCAAGCTCTGTGCATGTTCAGATATCTAAGGGAGAAAAGCAGGCGAAAGAGCAACCGTCCATTTGGAGCAAAGTTGTCTCTCTTCGGGTCTCTCTAACGTCACCATAATAACACCAGTGTTTTACAATTATGATAACACTCTTCACAAACCTTCGTGTCTTAAGGGGGCGGGCTACACTTGAGGGCTATCTCGCTTATTAGTAGACCAAAGTTTACCAAATTTCACACATATATAACAAGCATAGTAAGGAGTCTTAAAATCTGCAATCACGTTTGAGAAAAAAGTTTCGTTTCCATGGATACGGCGGCCATATTGGATTCTGTTGACATGTCTTACGTAATGAATACCGCACTTATTGTGCATGGAAATTGATTGTTCTTTAGCAAGCATGTTAGCAAACATTAAATTAAAAAATTTCTCGGTTGATTTTTTTTGTTAAACGAATTAAAAAATGTTCATGAATTTTATCCTGAGGTAGCATTCAAGTTTGCAAAAAATCCGCGAAAATCCACACTCCAGACATAACCAACAAAAATCTATCTTATATATAAAAAAATAAGCGAACAAATTGTTAGCATTACATCTTCTCTTCATTCTGTGAAAATTTCAAGGAGATTGGGTGAAAAAAGTTGGAGTTATTCAAAAAAGTATAGAGAAAAATCGTGTTTTGAGAAAACGGCCGTTAAAGCAAAATAAAATATTGACTTTATGAGGAAATGGTGGTGACATTCATGCCCGGTATGGGAAGAAATAAAGATTTTCGGGGTTCTTATTAGATGATATAGTAGTAGAAGAGGCTTAGGAAGCTAAAATGCCTACAACTCAAATTCCATAATTTTGAGCCGAATCAGGACTTTGGGGGTGTAGCCCCCGCCCCGCCCCCTCCCCCCTTAAAGAACAAAACAAAAAAAAAAAAACAATATTAAAGCAGAGCTCGGTTCCAAAAATAGCCCCAATGCGCGGTTGTTCAATCTCGTTGACAATTTAAGGATATAGTGGGCATAAATTATCAAGTCCTATCATCAGCAGACCAAAAGGCATTGTCATGATGCACATTTCGAACTATTGTACACAAATTTGAAACACTAATTTGCAAAGCTCATTATATTACCCTGTGGTTGCCTACCTTTTAAAGGTTCAGATTAAAAAATAGAAAAAAACGGAAGTGAAAACATAATATGTGCAAAAATAAATCAGGAAGTTATGCTTCTCTTCAAAGTGCCCCCCCCCCCCCCCCCCCCAAACAAAAAAACAAATAAACAACAGTTTCGTCTCCTAGTGTTGTGAAATGCGTTTCTTCAAAGGGTTGAATTTTATCTAGGAAGGGGGGGGGGGGGGTGAACCCACTATTCCGGGGCCCTCATTTAGGTTTGAAACCTAAAAGCGACAAGTACGTCACTAAAATTGGTCATTAAATCAAAACAAGTGAACCTGTTTTGATAGTTCTTCATCTTATGAATGAACTCCTCCCGGTAAAAGAGACCTGTTTTCGGCAAAATTGCCAAAAAGTAATTTGACGTCGAAGTAATCGTAACAAGCGATGTCCGTTGGAGGATCGGTTCGGTTCGGTTTGGTTCGAATTTGTTTGGTTCGGTTTCTGGCGGCTTCAGTGTACACTATAAATAGACCCGTGCCTCAAACTGATCGCCCGACTCACGTCCTTGAAAACAAACACGTTTTTTCTAGAAGGTCATCGTTGGTTTTGTGCGTTCAATTTGTGCCACGCTGGTAGCTTTTCTCTCTCCATGCAGGAAAACCTAGCAATCCCCGACGACCAAACCGAACCGTACCGAACTGAAGCGATCTTGTCAATGGGCACCGGTCTAGGCCTAGGCCTATACATTCTTATACTATTCTCTGAGTCTGAGCGTCTAGGCCTAGGCCTTTTCAATACTGAGAATCGAGAACGCCTAGGCACCAGGTATAAAGGAATGTGTCCAAGCCGCTGCCAGAAGGCAACTCTCACGGGACAGCGGTTCCGACGCCGAGTCGCTACGAGCGGCGTGCCGAATATATAATACCGAGTGCACATTAGGGGATTGGCTCGGGTCAGGGGGGTTTGCTAGCCATACTGAGGATGCAAAGCTACCATCGTGGCACAAGCCGATCGCGCCCGACTCGTCGCCTCAAAAACAAACGCGTTTGTTTTCAGGCGACCAGTCCGGCGATCATCCCGACCCGACCCGACCCGACCCGACCCGACCCAATCCCATCCTCAATGGGCACAGAGTATTTTTTAAAAACGCTTTTGTTTTCATGCGATGAGTAGTGTGATCATCCCGACCCGACCGGACCCGACCCGACCCGACCCCATCCGCAATGGGCACCCGGTATTTAATAAGGCTTAAAGAAGAGCTCACCGTCAGCAACAGAAGAGAAGACCGGGGGCGGGGCGGGGGGTGCAGGGTCCTCCTCTCTCTCACGGATGACAGCAGCTTCGATGTCCGAGATGTCGTCAGGAGCGGCAGCAGAAGACACAGACGCCGACTCTGGAAGGGACAAAAGAATTAAGTTTTGTTGAAAAACCAGTTAGTCAGTTATTATAGGAGGTCAATACAGTACATAACCATGATTGTCAATGTCTGCTCCAGACCTGAGACCTAAAGAAGAAGAAGAAAAAGAAGAAGGGGGGAGGAGGAGGAGGAGGAGGAG